CCCCCCCCCCCCCCACCCCCCACAAAATTAAGAAGAGAAAAAAAGTTTAATGACTAGAAAGTTTATCTCAAAGCTGGAACTGGAATGTTTTTATTAATTTTTGCTTGGTACTATACAGATTATTTTCTGTTTAATCTCAATCACATTGTAGCATTATTCTTTCACCTCATTTTCTACGTTCAGTCAATACTTGTGTTTAGACCGCAAAGAAGGAGAACATTAGAGCAACAATAAAATTGTTTTCGTGTGACTTATAAGTTACGGATTCGAGCCGTAGAATCAGACACTGATGATCAGGGTAGGCTGCCTACATCGCACCTTCTTGGAGGTCCGGCCCTTTCCCGAATCCTGTATAAATACAAGATGCTTCATGCACCGGATTGCCCTTTAACCAATACATGAAAACATTCTTCATAAAATAATAATAATAAAATAAATAAATAAATAACAACAAACTTAAGAATAATATCAAGAACAACATCAATAGTAGCAACAACAATAACAATAACAACCACTAAGAATGAAACTAGTAATAATAGTAACAATAATAAGAAATGAGAAAGAACTTAAACAAAAGTATTACTATTATAAAAGTCACTTATTTTAAGAGCCATTGTTTTGTCTAAAATGAGTTTGAACTTTGAAGAATCAAGATCAACACTTTATCTACTAAAGATAGTTAATAGTGGCTGGCTGCATATCCTTTTCCAACACTGTACTGCAACCAACCCCCCCCCCCCCCCCCCCCCCCCCCCNCCATCTCCCTACCCCATCCAATAAAAATTTCAGAAGAGCAAAAGTTAATTAATAGTATAAAGTTTATCTCAAAGCTGAAATCTGGAATATTTTATATTTTTACTTGGTACTAAATGGATTATTTTTCAGTTTATTCTTAATTACACTGTAGCCTTATTCTTTCACCTAAATTTCCTTGTTTTCCACATTCAATCAACACATGAAAACATTCTTTCACTATTTACAGTTATCGTGGATAAACTTGTCAGCTAGTGATTTTTACTTACTTTTAATGCATCTTTAGTGGTACTAATATATTTCCTTTTAGTGCATTTTAACACAGGTTCCACAGCTAGCTTCAATCCAAAAAAGTGTGAAGTAAAATCTTGAAGAAAGGAGAGTATATTTCACAGCTGGTAATTGTATTGAATGATATATACTTTCCTCTATAATGGTGCTTTGCTTTTTTTAGCTTGAGTAGCCTTTGAGAGTATGCAAAGAATAACTTCTTTTCTTGCTCTTACATTCTGTTGCATTGGTTGTAAAAATAGAGGGCTTTGAAATAAGTTCTTGAATTCTTGAATTATGCAAAAAAATTCTTGTTTCTTGATACTGAATGAGCATAGTGTGAGTTTCTTGATTTTTAAGGATCTTGTAATTTGTTGTTTTTAAGTGGCTTAAATGGCTCCAAGATTGAATTTTTTTGATTGGTGGGGTAAGGAAACACAGAGGGGAACACCAGTGATAGTGAAAATGGAGAACCCCAATTTCTCCATTGTTGAAATTGATGGTCCTGATTCTGCATTTAAGCCAATAGAGAAGAGTAGAGGCAAGAATGCTAAGCAAGTGACATGGGTTTTGCTTCTTAAAGCTAATCAAGCTGTTGGCTTTGTTGCTTGGTTTGCAACAATTTTATGGACTTTGTTTGGTACTATCAAGAATAGGCTTATTTTTAGAGAAGGGGTTTCTCTTGCAAGTGAGAAACTTGGAAAAAGTAACCTACTTTTCAGAATAATCAAAGTTTGTTTGGTGATTTCTTTACTTATGTTGGCCTTTGAGATTGTTGCTTATTTCAAAGGTTGGGATTATTTTCAGAATCCAAGTTTGTATATTCCACATACTTCTGATGTTTTGGGGTTGTTCCATATAACTTATGTTGGTTGGTTGGATTTTCGTGCTGATTATATCGCGCCTTCTGTTCAAAATCTTTCCACATTCTGTACTGTTTTATTCCTAATTCAGTCGTTAGATCGTTTGGTACTTTGTTTGGGTTGCTTATACATAAAGTTCATGAAGATTAAGCCAAGGATTGAAGGGGATCCGTTTAAATCGGATGATCTTGAGGGATCAAACAACAGCTACCCTATGGTTCTTGTGCAGATTCCTATGTGTAATGAAAGAGAGGTACTGTAATTCATTTTTTTTCTGCTGCCCTTTTGAATTGTGAATATTTTATCTTCTTGTTTTTGTTACTACAACTGGGGTTCTGTGGCTTCTATTTAGTCTTAAACTTCTTTTTAGGAGAGAACATGAGTCACTTCCACATTTTGAATTATTTGAAATTGGTAATATACGAGTAATTTATTACTCGTCCACACTCTACCCTCCCCAAACCCCACTAGTGGGATGTTACTGGGTAGTTGGTAATATACGAGTAAATTTAGGTAAATTCAACTCCCTCTTTTGTGGTGCTTTTAACCCGTTGTTATATATGGTTTTCTTTTTAGTTGGTTTCCTTTTTAACTTTCTGATTAGCACTTCATTTGTGGTTTCTTTCTACCTTGTTTTTTCCATAATAGTGGTCTCTTTCTTACTTTTTTCTGTTGTAGGTGAGGGATGTTCTATGTCGGGATTGCTTAATATGGCATAATTTGTTTTGCAATACTATTGATACATTTAGTGTCTTATTATCAAATAAGGGAATTGAGCATTTTGTGATCTTAATCTAGCCTTGGCATATAAGTAGTACTTAAGACTTTCATTAGTCGCATTCAAACAAAAATTTTCTTCTTATTTTCTGCTTTTCTTTTCCTTATGTATTATGCATTCAATACTTTTTTGCTATTACTGGTGTTGTGCAGGTATATGAGTTGTCTATATCGGCAGTCTGTCAACTTGATTGGCCAAAAGACCGTTTGTTGATTCAAATTCTTGATGACTCTGACAATGAGTGCATCCAAGATTTAATAAAGTCAGAGGTCGCTAAATGGAGCCAAAAGGGTATCAACATAATATATAGGCACCGTTTGGTTAGAACTGGTTACAAAGCGGGGAACCTGAAGTCTGCAATGAGCTGTGACTATGTGAAGGATTATGAATTTGTTGCAATCTTTGATGCGGACTTCCAACCAACTCCAGATTTTCTGAAGCAGACAGTCCCTCATTTCAAGGTGAAAATATGTTTCTTTTCGTTTTCCCTTTCTTGAGTTCATTGATGTTGCTGTTGACAATTAACGTGAATGTTCTAACTTTTGTCACAGGACAACCCTGAACTAGGATTGGTTCAAACGAGATGGGTATTTGTTAACAAGGACGAAAACTTGTTGACTCGTCTCCAAAACATTAATCTGTGTTTTCATTTTGAGGTGGAACAGCAGGTGAATGGCGTATTCTTGAACTTCTTTGGTTTCAATGGAACGGCCGGTATCTGGAGAATAAAAGCCTTAGAAGAGTCAGGAGGTTGGCTTGAGAGGACAACTGTGGAAGATATGGATATTGCTGTCCGTGCTCATCTCAATGGCTGGAAATTCATATACCTTAATGACGTGAGGGTAAGTATTGTCCGCTTTCACATTTTTGTTAAATGTGCTTATGGTCCCATCTATTGCTACTCTGACTGGCATTTGTTGCATAGGGGATTTTATTTTGAGACTTCCTTTGCAAATAGAACTAGTTTTGGATCGAGGAGCAACTGTTGTTTTTATTGTGTTGCAAATAAAAGCTGCATTTTATTACTTAAGATTCAATAGTCAAATCACACAATGATTTATGGCTATTAGATTGGTTTTCTCTTTTGGTACTTTTCTTTTCCAAACAGTTCTTATATTGAAATCCATATTGATGAAACTTTTGTCTGGTCTTATTCCCATTAAATTTTGAATTTATATTACTTAAAACTATTTTTTGTAGCTTTGTCAATCTAATCACAATGTTCATCGTATAAATATGAAAAAATAGGTCCTTTGTGAAGTTCCTGAATCTTTTGAAGCGTATAGGAAGCAACAACATCGGTGGCATTCTGGCCCGATGCAACTCTTCCGAGTGTGTCTTCCTGCTATTGTTACTTCCAAGGTACGTTGACTTCTCTTTAGCGTCGCCAAACTTTTTGGGATAAAAACACTCTAATTTAGAAAACTTATGATGTTAGAGAACCTGAATTATTGAATATCGGAATGAAAAAGGATTCAAATGAAACAAAATTAGTAAGAACTCATATAGTCGATTCCAACTAGCTATAGGGGCGGAGGTAGAAGCCCGGATACGGGTTCGGCCGAACCCAATAGCTTTTGCTCAAACAGTGTATTTGTATTAAAACGTTAATTAAATATGTATAAATATTAGATTTAGAACCCATTTATTAGAACTTGAAGTCGTCATTCTAAAATCTAGAACCCATATGGTTGCAATCCTGACTCTGCGTCTGCCTAGCTTGATTTGAGGCATAGTTTTTGTCGTCGGAGAAACTCTAACGAACTCTTGATTTTGTAACTTTTGTGCAGATATCAATATGGAAGAAAGCCAACTTAATACTTCTTTTCTTTTTGTTGAGAAAACTCATTCTTCCCTTCTATTCATTCACATTGTTTTGTGTAGTTCTTCCTTTAACCATGTTTATCCCGGAAGCTGAGCTCCCTTTCTGGGTAGTTTGCTACATACCTATTCTTATGACACTATTAAACATTCTTCCGGCACCAAAAGCCATTCCTTTCATCGCCCCTTACCTCCTTTTCGAAAACACTATGTCAGTCACAAAGTTCAATGCTATGGTATCCGGACTTTTCCAATTAGGAAGCTCATATGAGTGGGTTGTCACCAAAAAAGCAGGTAGGTCTTCTGAATCCGACCTACTGGCCGCTGCTGAAAAGGATTTAAAAGTGTCGGGAGCACCACAAATTAGCAGATGGGCTTCTGAAAGTGAACTCTCTGTGCTAAACCGATTGAACAAACAGAAAGATGAAACTTCTACACCTGTTAAGAAGAGCAACAAAATATACAGAAAAGAGCTAGCTCTTGCTTTCTTACTGTTAACGGCATCAGCCAGAAGCCTTTTATCGGCTCATGGACTCCACTTTTACTTCCTTCTTTTCCAAGGAGTGACGTTCCTTCTTGTTGGTCTCGATCTTATTGGCGAACAGATTAGCTAATATTGCTCAACAGAGGAGAAACAGCCACCTACTTATCGTGTTCAAGAACTTATACACTTTGTCTCGTCTGAACTTTGTACCAGCAGAACAACAGAGACCAGGGAATAGCTCGGGTATTTCCACTTATTGACTTCTGCTATATGAAGTGAAGCCAATTAGGATTTTGTACGCAAGATGACTATGCCATTGCCTGTGTGAGTTCCCTAATGTTATTAGATAGAGTAATTTGTTGTCAGTCTTTTACAGAGAAGTCAATTGTTTGTCAATAATACTATAGGTAGAAGCAATCTTATTTTTTTTTATTTCCATTTATTTCTGAATTGGTATTTTTCAATCAGTAAGTGTGCTGTTTATGGCATTTGACATTCATCATATTGTGTATATAAGGATCTAAATGGCTAAAAATACTTGCTTTTCAAATTCTTGGAATTTCCTACTGTAATGAATGAGACAACCTACCTTCCATGAACATTTGCTTTTATTGGCTTTGATAGTATAGATTGATTTGATTTCTGTATGTTACCTTGTTGCCCTGGTCTAGTGTAAATTCTTACCTGCTTCTTATCTTTAGATGACATAGAAAGTAACTAATCTTGTATGCCTTTAAAAAGGGCAGCCCGGTGCGCGAAGCATCCCGCGTTTTCGCAGGGTTCGAGGAAGGGTCGTACCCTAAGAGGGTGTGATGTAAGCAACATACCCCGACGCAAGTACCAGAGATTGATTCCATGGCTCGAACCTATGACCTATAGTCACACGGAGACAACTTTACCGTTGCTCCAAGGCTCCCCTTCCTTGTAGGCCTTTATGATAAATATTTATGGCGGAGCCACAATGCTATAATCGTGTCCCCGTGCAATCAAGTCGGAACCCCATGTCCTTCTCTACTTGTCACCTTAAGCCAGCACTTTATAGCATTTTTCTAAATAACAGTAGTGTCCTAGTCAGCTTGTGCTCACGTTGACTATTTCACCAAATACATGCTACCTCCCATCAGCGCATGCCAGGTAACTCTACTCATCAAGATTTAGACATAGGGGAATAAATCACCTAGCTTTTCTTGTCTCCACTGGAATTTGAACTCTTCACTCATTCTTTTGACCGCTTGGCTATGTTGCCCGGACTCTCCGAAAACGTCGCCGGATGCGTGTTGGATCCTACAAAAGCAGTGTACTTTTGGAAGATCTGAGACAGGTCCGGTAACATTTTGAAGAGTCCGTACAATATAGCCGCTTGGTACACACTAGGGTGCCCAACTTTTGGCCCTTTTATTAAGACCATAGAATGGTAATGCAAATAATGAGCTTCATCCCTCCTGGTTGAAGAGGGCCTCTTTTATTTGTTGTAAGGTTCAATTTTGTATAAATGAAGTGTCGGCAATGCAAAAGGAGATAGACCACAAGAATCTTAAGTGGAAATTAAGGTCAGCTAAGGACTTAAATTTTCATGTATTTATTCCCATTATACTTGATATGGTATTGTTTATATAAGGGACCACAAATCTTTTTGTGGGCAATTTGCTGATATTGTGTTTTTTGAGTAAAGACACCATGAGTTTTTGTGTTGTATTGTTTTCTGTTGGGTTAATGGGACATGTCGCTTCTTTCATTGACCATCCTTTTATGGGTCCATGCCATCAAAATTTTGTCTTTGCAACTAGGAATGATTTTTTCTGATTTGACAAGCTACCAAGTGATGACTCCCTTTGGCATATGTCACATAAATTTGATTTTGATATTCCCCAGCTAGGGAATGTGTTTATTAATCTCCTTTTCACCTATTTGTCAATTTCTGTACTTACTTTCTGCAACATGTTTTTTTATAACTGAGAAATCCGATACTTTTAATTTCAAAACGCGGTAAATAATGAGTCTATCCCTCTATCTTTTTTTTTTTTTTTAACTTAAATACCATATTTGGTTCACCCATTGAGGATCGAGCTTGTGAAGGTGCACATTTTTGTGGTCAACGTTATCCGGTGGTTAATTTCTACAAAAAAAGAAAACAAACTATTCCTTAACTTTTTTTAAGAATTTTTTTCAGTTGGTTGTGGATGTGAATCATCACCACTATGTGATTATTTTTGTAGAATAAAGGGAAGGCTATATATTTATTTAATGAACCAATAATTTATGAAAAGAGGAGCATCTCTCAACTTCAAAAGTTAATAATATAGTATCACTAATTCACTATCATGGGTTGTGGTGGCATTGATAGAGTCCCTTCATTTCCGATCAGAGATTTCGACTTCGGGTCTTGAAGTATGGTCGCAAGTTCGAAATTCAAAGAAATTGACAGGGGGCCTGCACAAGCAGTGGAGCATGTGATTTAATTCGATACAACGCACAAAATCTTACCAGCCCTTGACATATGAACAAGAAAACATGTCCTTAAGCGGGATAGTACTGACTTTCATACAGGTGTTGCATGGCTGTCATTAGCTCATGTCGTGAGATTGGAATGAAAAAAAATCCTTTAATGTGCCTTATGGGCGTGAATCGAGTTAGTCGGGACCCTTATGCGAATATCGAACACCGGTAGAATATATATATATATATATATACACTTTACCCACAGCTTCTATCTAGCTATTAAATTTAGTAGAACAGTTGAATTAAATGTGTTTTCCGTTTCTTTTTGTTCTTAATTCCATCAAAAGAAAGTATTTTCATATAAAGAGCTAGCTTTGGAAAACAAAACTGTGTTAATTATTTGAGTTGCTATTTTTTTAGCCTCTTTTTTCTACTCCTCGTTTCAATTTAGATGAGGTAGTTTGTCGGCACGAAGTTTAAGAAAAAAGAAGAAAGACTTTTAAAATTTGTAGTATTAAAAGCTTAAGGGATAAAAGCTTTGTGGGACCATGATATTTGTGTCGTTATAAAAGTTTTTCATTAAGGGTAAAATGGGTAAAATGAAGAGTTTAAAGTTGAATTATTTCCAAATTTAGAAATGTATCATTTATTTTGGAATAGACTAAAAAGGAAAATACCTCATCTAATTTGAAACAGAGAGAGTATTAACCTAGGGTGCCTAAGGGAATTAAATAGTTCTGCAGAGAGATTAATACGAATTGAAGCAAGATGGTTATGAACTTTCTATTAATTAAGGATTTAAGCTATATATGCTCGATATAATATAACTTGTGATAGCAGAAAAGTTATAATTTTTACTAGAAGAGACATAGATGCTCCGGTCAGGAATTATGAGAGGTTGTCATGTCGGGTCTGAGGAAGGGAAGGAGTAAGCCTAAGAAATATTGGGGAGGGGTAATTAGGCAAGACATGTCATTACTTCAGCTTACTGAGAATATGACCCACGATAGGATGATGTGGAGGTCGGGGATTAGGGTTGTAGGTTAACAGATACTAGTGTGTTCCTCCTAGGCTAACTAGTAGTACTAGGACTATTTTTGTATTTTATTATTCATGGTTCTTTATTTTACATGTTGTGTCATTCGCGCCTGTTACTATATTACATTGTTGTTACTATTGTTTGCTACTTGGTTGCTTTATCTCCACTATTTCTTGAGTCTAGGGTCTATCGAAAACAACCTTTCTATCTCTATAAGGTAGGGGTAAGGTCTACGTACACACTGCCCTCCCCATACCCTAATTATGGGATTACAGTGGATTTGTTGTTGTTATAATTTTTACTTGATTATCGATACCATTCATCATAGAAATTTATCTATAATTACCTTATATGGACCTAGTTTTGTAGAATGAGTTTAAGTTATGTACGCTAATATATATAAGTTTTATACACCATCAAGTTAATTTGACTTACAACGCCAAATAACTCTTCATATTATCAAATATGGTAACCTAAAAATAGATTAATAACTTGTTATTATTATTTAAATTACACTAATACTGTAAATATTATATATATCTTAAATCCTTAATAAAACCACCAAGATAATTTTTTTAGCTAGTTCATGATAAATTGAGGGCATATAAGGCCAAGGACAAGATTAAAATTGGAAATAATAAGTTAATGAGATTTTTTTCTTCCTATACAATATTTGAAACTTATTTACCAAAATTGTCCTAGTTTTGTATATTACCCACTCTAAACAAACATTAATTACAAATCATATACAATCCATTATTAGTGCCTTGAATTAGGGATTTAGTTACATCATTTTTCTTTTTTCTCTCCTCTCCTCTTCCCTCACTGCCACATCTCTTTCTTTCTTCATCTTTCTCTCTCACCGTTTTTCTCTCTCAATAAGGTAAGCCTAAAAATTGTATTCTGCCAATCAACCTATTGAAGTAACCTCCAAGTTGTAGGACTTGAAGATTCGAACAATTGAAAATTCGAACATTAATCTATCATAAAGCTTTGAATTCGAATTTGAGTTTTTAAAAATCATTATTTATTTGGATTGAGTGTTGTTGCAAACAATTGGGGATATTGTTTGGAGTTTATATCTCAATTTTGAGGGTGCTTGGTGAAGATTAGACTTGGTTCTGGCTGAATTTCAGATTGAAACTTGAAGAAGAAGAAGAAGAGGAAGAAGAAGAAGAAGAAGAAGACATGACATACAATATACTTACGAAATTAAAGTTGTAGTGAAATTGTAGGTAAATTGTATTCTGTTGTAGTTATATTTTTTTTTTATTTGAATGTTGTATGAAAGTTAAAAAATAGTTGTATGATGATAAAATCTAGTTGCCTCCCCATGTATAATTTGAAAAACTGGTGATATTTGACATAACAACACCTCTTGGCATTTAACTCTAATATTCACACAATTAAGCATCACGAAATTCTTCTTTGGCAAATGTCCTTCAACGAATAATATTTATCTGATTATGCTATCAGCTTAACACAATTGATTTCCTTAAACATGCATTACTTTTCGTAACGCGGAGGAAATCAAACTCAGTGGCGTACGCAGGATTTTTTATAAGCGGTGTCACGATTTTAAAGAGTGAACAAATGATAATTCACTATAATAACATCATATTAAAAATATTGTTAGAATTGTATTCATAAAACACAACTCAAAAATAGTAAGTGAATTTTTATTTTTAAAATGTACTGAACAACCTCGTTAAAAATAATACTAAATATTTTTTTTTTATAGAAAACACCAGACAATTCTATAAAAACTCATCATTCATTCAATTTTGCAAGTTGTTTTAATCAATTTCAATTTTTGAGAAGAAGAAGAAAGAAAAAAAAAGGAAAAAAATACCCGAGAAAATTAGAACAAAAAGTCAAATAATTTAGTGTTGCATAAATATGCAAATGTGATTTTTGATCCATTGTTTCAGTATTATGTTAACATTTAATAGGCTAATGGTTTAAACCCTAACATGCTTATATTGGTAGATGAGGCTCAAAAAATTATTAAAACATAACTGAAGCCAACGGATTCAATCTTGCGACCTATCCTTCGAATATGAAGCTCTTAACCGATTGAGCTACACAGCAATTCTTGCCACATGGTGTGAATTTAACAGT